CAATTTGCAGTCTTTACTTAACTTAGTATTTGTTAAGTGTTATTATCAATCATCTTTATTAACAAGATATTATAATAAATGCATTCTCTGATCCAGAATTGCTAGTGACTTATATATTTTACTTTAGTCTCTTCACTCTAAATCTATAAAGTCTAATAGTCTAGGTAGAAACTCTACTCAAACTACATTGCTCAATGCTCAATGCTCACCCAACAAAGGGGCTGTGAGGCTGTGAGCTGTGTGGACAGACCAGGACAGTGGAAGCTGCCAGCCAGAAGATGCCTCAAGTAAAATTCCAATAGAAATAATCAATTCCACAAAAACAGTTTGAGACCAAAGCTTTTTGAGAAGGTCTAACCAGCTAAACAGCTTTGTAATTTTTTGTGATTATAGAAGTCAGTGAACTATAATTGCTGAAAATTTCAATATTACTGACAATCAGTGACATTCATTCATTTCATTGCAGCTTAGCTCAACAGATAGCCAGATCATTTACCTTGCCGCTCATTGATAATTTGTCAATGAGCACATAGTGAAATTTTAACTGCATAGTATATTAGTAAAATTCTAGGATGGGAAGTACTTATGGCACTCTGCCTCTTTGTCGCATGCTCCAGCAAGGGGCAACTTGCGGCAGTCTAAACCCGTCACAACTTGCAAGGCTGGTCAAACCCAGCCCAGTCTAAACCCAGCCTGGTCTAAACCCAGCTTAGTCTCTCCCAGTGGAGTTTTGAAATTGATTTTAATGAAAAAAAATAAGATTTAACTGTAAAATTGCTTACTGACTTCTGTTGGTTGCAAATTGCCAATCAATGATGGAAAAAATGATGATGACTTACTTTCATCGGTTGTTGAGTCATCTTTCCAGGCCCAGGCCCCCTTCCCTGAGTTTTGTGCTTGGTTTCTCTTTCAAGCTTTGAGGTTCATGCCACCATTGGCAAAGAATGTTGATAGTATCACAATGAAAAATAGGCACAATGCCACAATCAGATCTATAATTCACAAGTGAATATCACAACAAAGGAGTTGAGAGCTTGTTGTCAGACCACAAACCATCACCAACTCTTTGACTTCTTGGAGCACAGGCTGCTGGCTGCAGCTAGCTCATCCGGTTGCCAAAGGTACTCTTCTTGACTTTCTCCATGTTAAAAATTAATTGCATTTTCAGATCTCCTATAATTAATTTCACACATATAGATGAACAGAAGTGCAAGTAATACAGTTCACAACCATTTCTTAAGATTTACGTTCATAGGGAATCACTTGATAATCTTTTGTTTTAGACAAGCTTTTTATCTCAGACAGTGCAATGCTAGCCTTCTCATTGGACACTGACAGACTGCTTCGAAATTTTGAGCAATTAGTGCTGGGCATGAAGCCGCATCCAATCAGAGCTGGGGATTCTCTCCTGCGGAGATTCAATCAACCACAGCCCGCAGTGGTTGACTGGAAATGGAATTTGTGGGGGAAGGTGTCGTGACCTGTGGCACTGAGCACTCCAGATTATGATAGAGCACTCCAATTTCCCAAAAGTTCATGTTCTTTCCTGTATACTATAGAATGCACTATGTTACTAAAAACCAAATAATACTGCTACTGCGATTTGCTATACTGGTCAAAACATACTAACATAGTGGATAAGGTGAAAGGAGAAAATTTTTTGTTGCCCTCTGTAAAGTTCATTTTTGAGTCCTATAGGTAGAGTAGACTAGTCACTGGGTGACTGGTAAGTATCTTGGATACCAGCATTACCATCAAACGGGATAATAAGGGACAGTTTTGAGTGTTTTTCATCAATTACTTCTTACCATGAAACATTTCATAAACAAGTTTAGGCTCATTTTATAGCTCTTTGCAAGGGTTATCAAATGGCATCTTCAAAAAAATTCTATATGCTAATAATGCTATTCGTAAGGTGCCAGATGCAAAATAAAACTGTCCCAAATTACCCCTGGGAACGGGGTAATCCGGGACACTTGAAATAAAACTTGAGTGTACTTGTCTATTACTAACAGTACTCTGAAGTCCTCCTCTTTCATTGTAGATGATGTAGATGTAAAATAAATGACATTTTCTGTGTTTTTCTGATCAGTCCACTTGATCCAATCAAATTACCATCAAACAGGGTAAAAAAGGACAGGGGGGGTAAATCAGGACTGTCATCCCACTAATCAGTCACTAAACTAATCAAAATATTGCAAAACTAAAATTAGTGGTATAGAGTTGAACATTTTTACTATCTATGTAGCTTAAAGCAAGTTAAGAAATCATACATTTACTACCTCTAAAAAATCCCTGGAAAAAAGTGTGGAAAGTGAGATTTTGGAAAAGTACCTCTGCTAAGGTCTGTAGCAAAAATATATTTGCTGTATTAAAAAATGTTACTTACATAAAAGTTGCATACAGGTGTTGGCTTTAAAACCTGATTGACAGAATTTGAGTATCTTGTTGATTAAAATATGCGTTTAAAAAATNTCATTTCTCAAAAAAATATGATGGTTGTCATTGAAATATTCTCCTTTTTTATTTAAGATATGTTTTTTACAATCTTTTTTGTTGTAGTGAATTCACTTGACCCAATTAAAATGGTGTGAAATTACAAGCCATCCTGTAAGCTTACAGATGCAGAAGAAATGCTATATGGCTGCTGATATGAAAGCTTGCAGTGGGCAAGGTCCTTGTAAATGCTCAATGGCATGTCCTTGGATACGGTAATATCACATCAATAATATGGTAATGTATGGAAATGGTAATATGATATCAATAAATGAAAAACAATTAAAAATTGCAAAAAATGCCATTTATTCTGCATCTACATCATCTAAAAAGGAAGAGGAGGACTTCAGAGTGCTGTTAGTTATGGATGATTACCCTTTGCATGCTTCAACGTTTTGAAATTAAGTTTTATTTCTAGAATCCCAGATTACCCAGTTCCTAGGGGTTGTTGATGATGTTCCCCAAGCCCCGGTCATGCCAGGAAGCCCATGCTGCGCAGGAAAGCTGCCACCCAAGCCAGCTCAGACCATAGCTGCATGACGGATGTTATGCCTGCCCAGAGCATGGGTGCTGCCAGCTCCGGGCACTCAGGCGCAGTGCTTGACGGTATGGGGGAGTGCATGGCATTGGAGGCATAGGTCCGAGTGAGTGTTATCCAGGCAGTGTTTGTAAGAGTTTAGTGAGAGATCGTGACCACAGCTGAGTCTGCTGAGGTGCACCCTATCTGCTCTGCTCAACTGCTGTTCCGTATGGCTGATGTCTGGTGGTGTGTTGTCAATAATGCTGTTGATTGGTAGATTTAAGAGTGCGTTTCAGGTTAGGTGTGTGTGTATGTGTTTAATGAAGTTGGCTGGGTCTGTGGGCCAGTATGGAAATAATTATTGTGAGATAGTACTTGTATAGAGTGTTGGGAATTTGTCTGGGTGTAGGGGGTAGGTACTGAAAGTGATGGCTGGGACTGAGGGGGTTGTGGAGTGCTGATGCAAGGAATTGGGCGCCTCTCATGTCTAGGTGTTCTTTCAGAGAGTGGACTTTGGTTTCTGCATGAATGTGACTGAATGGTGTGGTTTGGGTGCTGCCAAGTGCAATTCTGAGTGCTATGTTTTGTATGGTTTGTAGGTGTTTGTTAAGTGTGGGTGAAATTATGGGTGCCCAGGCTGGATTTGCATAGTCCAGCTCTGAGCCTATGTATTGTTTGTACACTAGTGTGAGGGTTTCCTTGTTCTGACCGTATGTTGTTCCTGTGAGGGCTCTGAGTGTGTTTAACTTAGGTATGCATTTTGTTTTTATGCTCTGTGTGTGTGGCCTGAAAGACATAGAAGTGTTGTAAGTGACACCTAGAATCTTGGTTTCATGTGTGTGTGGTATGGTGGTGTTGTTTAGAGTGACTGTGTCTCTGTGTTGACTAGTTCCCAGGGGTAATTAGGGATGCTTTTTTTTGCGCCTTGCACCTTACGAATAACATATGGAATTTTTTCAGAGATGCCGTACATTAGCCCTCGCAAAGAACTTTAAAATAAGCCCAAACTTGTAAATGAAATGTTCCATGGTAAGAAGTTATTAACAGAAAACGCTCAAACCATCCCTTATTATCCCGTTTGACGGTATGGTTTACAAAAGTCCATTGATATTGATTGCCAATGTGATGAACTAGATATCTGTTTATGCAACTAATTTATCATAAAAGTTGTATCTCCATATTGTCAGTCTATCTTACAAGTAAAATTCATTATCTGAAATCAGAATTTTCAAGCAAAATGTGAAAACTAACGTCACATGAATTCCCTTTCTACAACTTTGCAAAATAAAGTCTATCAGTGAAAATTTTTCCAGAAGCTACAGTAATCAGAGAAAATTATTGTAGACTTGAGTTACTTTGCTTCAAGTTTATTTGTTTATATTCAACAATAACAAGCATTAATTATAGAGTTTTATCAAATTTAATAAGAATTAAAGCACATATTAAGTCAAAAATGGACAAAAAAATGTTTCTAAAAATAATTGCTTTATGATTTATGGTGTGTGACGTTGCATGCCATACGTGTTGCTTGTGACATTACCTGCAGCTCCCACCTCCAACTCTTCAGTCACATTCAGGCCTGAGTTTTTGCCAGCATGTCTTCAATTTCCCAGATATTGTGAAAATGTTTTATTGTGAAATTGTGAATATATTTGATTATGATATTGAGAATATTTTCAATTGTGAAACATTGTAGATCTAAGGTCTTGCAATACACAGTTCTAACGTCACTAGCACTGGTGGCATGAGCTGTGAAGCTTGGAATATGAACAAAGGAGTCATGTGTTCTTGAGTTGAAATCATACCTGTAGCTGCACAACCTATGAAAGTAGGTTATTGTCATTATGTCAGTCATTGTATGATTTTGCTACCTATGGAAGGAAGCAAGATATTTTACTATTCAATTCCTAATTTTTTATTTCGTGGATTGCAATTTGTGTGCATTGTATTGTATTGCTCTGCCGACTCTGAGGAAATGTGACACGACTGTCCCGATTTACCCCGCCTGTCCCTTATTATCCTGTTTGACAGTATGACTAACTTTGTATAAACAAACCAATTTGCATGAGCTGTCACTCCTGTTTGACAGCTGAATATATGCTTAGGCAGAGGTCATGTGTACATTATTGTTGACTCATGCAGATATTGGTCTCCAGATTTTGATCCTTCACACAAAAAACATATAAGCTACTTCATTCTTGTGCAGATCAGTGCATGACAAGTTCTTGTTTACATAGCCCTTGAAGAAAATGTACTAGAAATAGAAGTCCATAGTGGTTGAAAACATTTCATCCATAATTTTATTCTAAATTCCTGTCACATGACAACTGCTCTATTGCTGGCCCAAGAATCTCCGACTCAATGATTAGTGTATGGAAATTGGCACCGTTTGCATGTGAAGGCACTGTTGAAGAATATTATATTTGAGTTTCAGCTTCATAAATCTGTGTGATTATAAGAATGTTGAAATTCAAAATCATTTGGCCAAAGTTCAAAATCATTTTTACACTCTAAATTTCTTCATATTAAAACTATTTAATAATGCCAGCAGATTAATGAATTAATTAATTGTTCCTTCTTGCAGTCACTGCCTGGGCATGAAATTTGCACTCCATACGGACCTAGAAATTCTCTAGCAAGCCATGGAGAAGCCATCATTTAGAGAATATCAAGCAGCCAAGCGTGCTGTCAAGGTAAGCATTTATTTGTCTCATTCAGGTGTTTTTTTAACATTCAAAAGTAAGTTCTAGATCAAGTTTATGCACCTAGCGGCTGAGGTGAGAAATTGTAGCAACAAATACATTTTATGTAATTTTCCTGAAGTTGTTGCTGATGTACACTCAATAATCATGTTTTTCACATTACCTTGACTTACCTACCGTTTTTTATGACAGCAGCAATGAATTATCACCACTTTGAAAGTAATACTCCTATCTAACCATTGGTTTCCAGGCATGGGAGCGAGAGTATCGCCTACAGAACAACGTGCGGCCTGATCGCCGAGCGCTGTCGGCCGCGTCATCAGAGGTGCAGGCAGCGTACAGCCTCTACTACAAACTCAGCAAAGCCTTCTCTTCCCGTGACCCTGACAGCAGCGCTCAAGACATCGATACTCGAGACCCTTCCACGGCTAACAATGATGCATCCGTCACTATCGAAAATTCTTCAACAAACGCAGTTGTTGCCTGTACCAAAGCATTCAATGCTAACTCGCCATTGACACGACAAGACACTCTGCCTGTAGATAACAATGGGAGCCTATCCTGCAATAGATATGGCAGCATCTCGGAGCAGGATCCTTGCTGCCTCAGTACTGCGACTGCTGTCACAGGAAGCAGATCGGGTCAAAGTAGCTTAACCCACCCAATTAAAAAATTGGGACACAATTCTCATGGCCTAGCTTCGATTCCCGCCACAAAAGCCATTGATGGAAAAGATAAATCATCTAACGGCAACCTGCCTGCATCTGATGAGAATTCACGCAAGTCCTCTACACCTTGTAGCTCTAATGGAACCAAGAGTCCCGATCAGGATGTAGATCAAACTGATTCAGGTGGAGAACTTACGACAAAACCAGAAGTATTTGGCAAATTTCTTAACAAGCCTAAAGAAGTTCCTGCAAAGATTGTTAATCGAGCTCCTCTTTCTGACCTGTACTCGAAGCTTGCTCAAAACATGCGTGACAGTATTCTTTCATCGCCTTCCATGCCATACGCTAAGTTATCCTTAAAGAGAAAACCTTCGAAGACTAAAAAGCTCGAAAATGATTTAAAAATAAACTATGATGAAGGTTCCGGTGTGGGTAAAATTGAATCATTAAATGACTCGAATGTTTCGTCTGTAAGAAAATCTGTTGTTAAAGACGTCTTGAAGAGACCTACAAGTCAGGAAAACGAGACTGGTGTGTCTTCGACTGAGAACTGTACGCTGTCTACGCTCTCTCAAAAGTCTGATAATGACGCTGAAAATTCTGGTCACTTATTCGAACCAAATGCATTCAAAATTACAGCGGCTCCAAAGCGAAACACAGCTTTTGCGGTTTGTTTACTACCGGGTGCAGCTGTTAGTTCAAGCCGTTTGAATGGTAAAATTAACTCAGCCTGGGTGAATAGATGTGTTGGATCTACAAATGAAGAAGAAAATGTAATTTATGACTTCAGTGAAGATATCACTCAAGTGTCAGTGCCAGATCATTTTTCAACATCATCAACGCCCGATAATAACAAAAATGAAACTCAGTCAGCTTCTGGTGAAAGATCCGCAAGTTTATCTCGTTTTTCAGCTAACGATAGCCAACATCGCTCGTTCTCGCCCTACGAAACAAATAAGTGCCATGAAGTTATGAACAAAAATGACGGCAAAATTGACGACCAGCCCGCACAATTATCAGTAAACCACGCCAGTGAACTCGATGTGGAAGTTGATGGTCTCACCAGTAGTTCCTCGCGTGCTATTCATGAACCTAACGAGTTGTCAGACGCATCTTCACCATTTGAGTTTCTTCCAGAAGCTTCCACCAACACTTCAGAAGAGCTGCCAAGCATTCCTGCTCGGGGATTAAAAAGGAAAGCGGCGGATTCGCTTGAAGAACTTGAAGAATCTGGAAAAATCGTATCAGTTTGGCCTGCCCCTAAGAAAAAACGACGCTCTCGTATTATCAAAAACAGCGTAGAAGAAATCACACGACATAAACTCACGATAAAAGCTCAAAGACTTAAGGTCGAATCTGTGGGTGGAAAATGTAGTAGCCCCACTACCGTTCGAGGGCGTCGTCGAAAAAAAGATAATACAGGAGAATCGCCGAGAATAATTTCTGACAGTGGAACGAATAGTGAGAGATTGGTGACCAGTTCCGTAGTTACTGAGAGGGTGTGCGACGAAGTTATTGACGTACCCAACGATGCTAGTGCAGCCGGTGATGGAGTGGTTCCAGAGTATGATGAACTAATAGAACTGGAGAAAACGAACACCTCAGTTCGCCGAAAGTTCCTTAAAAAAGAAGATAAGCTCACAGACAAAGTGAAACGAGGAACACTAAATGAAAATTTTGTCAGAATAGACCTCAAAAAGAAAACTTATGCTCGCGGAAAGAAGAATATGACAGGTGGCAAGTTCCGGAGGATGGAATGGAAACGTAAGCAAGGTTTGAAGAGCTCTAATGGCTCAGCGTCTTCAGGTGAAAGGAAGGCCAAGAATCTGACTTGCTACAAATGCGGCGACTTCGGTCATTGGGCCGCTCGCTGTCCTGGCAAGAGCACTAAAAGTGACTATACTGATGTATATGAGCGCGGCAATGTTGATTTCCTCACACTTCAACAAGCCGAAGAAATGGCCAGAGGCATAAAAACATCCCAAGCTAGCACAACTACTAAATTATTTTCACTCCCATCGTCGTCTGTCAGCCAAGCTTTTAGTGACTCGAAACAATGTAGTGACAAAAGTATTTCTCTCTTTGAGAAAGATACAAACTCTAAACCTCGTACAGAAAAGTCGATAAATGACACCGGATGCGAAGACAATAATTTAGATGAAGAAAATATAGAATTGGATGGAAGCGACGATGAAGATGCAACAATACTTGACTCGAAGGACGATCCATATGAGGAACTGGACGATTCCTTAAATGCTGATGATATGGATGACTTAGAAGCTATGGCCCTTAGCCAAGATGCATCACAAAGCACGTCTTCAGTCGGAAATTTGTCGCAAAATGAAAAATGTTTCAAGGCCCATCACCGGAAGATTGCCGAGCCTGTGTTGAGCAGCAGTGTTTCCGAGTGCCCTCGTGAAGTACGCGACACTCTACTGATGTTCGGTCACTCCAGTTTCCGTCCTGGCCAAGAGACTGCGATCCTGAGGATATTGCAAGGCAGGAGTACCTTGTTGGTGCTCTCCACTGGTTCTGGCAAGAGCCTGTGTTACCAATTGCCTGCTTATTTGTACGCTCAAAAGCAGACCTGTATTACTTTGTGTGTCTCGCCCTTAGTGTCACTGATGGAAGACCAGGTAACGGGCTTGCCTTCTTTCCTCCGAGCTGTATGCCTCCACACAAATCAGACTCCCCAGCAACGTACCAAGGCTCTCGAGGCGGTCAGAAGTGGTCAGGCTCACATCCTGCTAGTTTCTCCGGAGGCTGTGGTGTCGAGTGGCGCCGGTGGCGTCCTAGGGACCCTCATGAAAGACTTGCCACCCATTGCGTTTGCCTGTGTTGACGAAGCTCATTGCGTTTCACAATGGTCACACAACTTTCGTCCTTCGTACCTGAGAGTTTGTAGTGTGCTACGCGACCTGCTGGGAGTTCGCACTATTCTTGGTTTGACTGCAACAGCTCGATACGAAACAACACTGAGCATTGCACAACATTTGCAAGTTGAGGATATAGACGAGGGTGTGATTAGAGGGAGCAGCGTGCCTCCGAACCTGCTACTCTCGGTGTCGCGTGATGCCAACAGGAATGAAGCTCTGGTGCAGTTATTGCACGGTGACCGTTTCTCTACCTGCGAGTCGATCATCGTGTATTGCACTCGTCGCGACGAGTGCGAGCGCGTTGCGACTTTGCTGCGATCTCAACTCCTCACGGCTGATAGAATTGATGTTAAAGCTAACCTGAAGCGCAATCGAGGAGTATCTCTTGATGCTGAAGCATACCATGCTGGATTGTCAGCATCTAGGCGCAGAAATATCCAAAACAAATTCATGTCTGGAAAACTACGCATTGTGGTTGCCACCGTTGCATTTGGCATGGGAATCGATAAATCTGACGTTCGTGCTATTATCCACTATAATATGCCTAAGAACTTGGAAAGCTACGTGCAGGAGATCGGACGAGCTGGTCGTGACGGCCTACCTTCACAATGTCACTTGTTTTTGGATTCTTCTGACGGCAGAGACGTTCAAGAATTAAAACGTTTCATATTTGTCAACTCAGTGGATCGTATCACGGTGAGAAAACTCCTCGACAAGTTGTTCGTTCCGTGCATTTGCACTAAATTTCAAAATTTGGAGCCTATCGAATCTTCCTCTCAGAGAAACGACATGTCGTGCCCAAAGCATGAAGTTGCTCTTCCGGTGGCAGAATTGGTAGAATTTTTAGATTTACCAGAAGAAAATATTCTAACATTATTTTGTTACCTGGAATTACGAGAGGACAACTTGATTCAGCTGCTGCCGAGTGTGTATAGCTCGTGTACTGTAATATGCTACGGTGGAGCTGCTCAGCTCTGCTCTGCCAGCAAATTGTGTCCACCATTGGCCGTCGCGATAGCTAAAGATAACCAACGAGGAATTAGTCACCAGACGAGCAACACAATTTCGTTTCCAGTGGTGCAAATAGCCTCAGAAATGGGCTGGAATAGCGGGATAGTGAAGCGGGAACTCAAGGCTCTGGAGTGGACTTCATCCGCTGGTTCAGTGAGACCTTCCGGCGTTAAAGTGGAATTTTCCGATTTAGCTTTCCATTTGATGGTTAGAGGTAACCTGACAGATGATGATCGTGACCGTATACTAGATGAGCTTCATGCTCGAGCTACCCAGCAAGAAACCGACCAGTTGAAACAACTTCAGTACACGCACCAAACTCTTCGTGCGGCATCCCACGCATCCATATTGCTGTGCTGTGATCAGGTGGACGATAAGCGCTGCTCCAACCTGAAGGATGCCATCGGCCGCTACTTTGCGCCCAGCAGCTCAGAATTGGAGAAAGTTGTCCTCGAGAAGGAACCTGAGCTCACGACGAGTGTAGAGGGGACAGTGAGACAGGAAGTGAGGTCTCTGTTGAGCACACACACCGACCACACTTGGACCGCACGCGCCGTGGCCCGCGTCTTACACGGCATCCAGTCGCCCAACTTTCCCGCTAGCGTGTGGGGCCGCGTCAGGAGGATTTGGCGCTCTCAGATCAATGTTCCTTTCAAGCACATACTGACCATTGCACAGCAGGAAATTATCAAGTGGAGGCGGCTTTAGTAAATCTTGATACGTTATCGTTAAGAATAATTATTTCAAAATGTCACGCATGCTTGTGACATTAGATTATATTCATATTTTTAATACGTTGTATCAGCCGAAACGAACGATTTTGACCTGTCTTTTAACGGAAATTTTATGTTGCCACACCGACGTTTTCGAGGATGCTGCAGCTTTATGCGCCACTAAATCTATTCCTGTACACATAAATTAATTTGCAACGTGGATGAGAATATTTCAATTTATGTGATGCTTGCACCAATTGCTTGTAGCATGCGTTTTCTTTATTGTCTTCTCGATTCTGAGCTGGTATGTGTGGCTTGGTCTTAGATTTTTATGAAAGCTCTCCATTGTTTAAGGATGATATTATTCGCGCGCTTTTTGAAAAATCACTTTCAAATTAAACACGCGTGTATTAGGTTTTGACATAGAAGGGTGATTTATTTGTAATTTGAAAGTCTTTAGGCAGTTCAAATGGCGTTGTGTTGAGGGTATGCAAAATCCCCGTCAGCGCGTCAAAAATTTATATTTGGGGTTAGGTTTATGCCATATCTATAGTATTATATGATATGCTTGTTTTTTCCCTTGAAGAAGTCATTCGATTTATAACATATCGCTCCGCGTGCTTCGATTTTCATTCCTTTTTTGTCGTTGAAGTTGGTAATGCTATAACGCTACATGCCTGGCTCTGAAATATGACAGCGTTTCACCCTCTGCCTTTCTTCTCCGTTAGGTGAAGCGATCCGCATTTAAAGGATTAGTTGTCCTGAACCAGATCTCGTGTTGGGTTACTGGAAATATATGTAAATTTTAAATTGCTACATCTAAAATAAGATCATTTAGGCGATATTAGTTTCATTCGCTGTCAACGCTCTCAATGGAGTTCGTCTGTATTCATTCAATCAGAAAGCTTTACCTAAAACTCTTCAGTTCACTGCAGCTTCATATTTCGTATAGATGTAAGTAGTACAAAGCTGAATAAGTTATAAATTACTTTAAATCTAAATCATTATAAAATTGTGTCTTGATCTGAATCTTAATACCCAAATAGAATTCTAAAGAAATCCTTAATGATACAAACTTTCAAATAACGGGATTTTATTGTTATTAAATTACAGCACAAAGAAGAGTTCTAAATAACATTATTTCATAGTATACACGTCTATAAAATATAAATGCTACGCAACAAACTCACAGAAGTGACTAAACGCCTACGTTTAAGCCAAGAGGAACCTAGATTATCTTGCACAGTTCGCGGTATTTGTTTAGAAAAATAAGTACTCAGCAGCGATCGTCTCGAGATCATCTGATGGAGTTCTGTCGGGTGTTCCAATCTTCCTTCAAGGACAAGATTAATTCGACGAACTGAAATGGGTTCAGACGTAAGGACGAGCTTGCAGTTAGTCTAAGATTATCAAGAAGACGATTTATCAATAAATACTAGTTTCAACGTTCGCAGGTCACTTGACTGAATTGTGAAGCATTTACTTGCAAAGATCGGGTTTATTAAAATATATCTCATGACCATTGAACATGGTACTTTCTACCTCCATATGTCACGTGAATACCATAGCTCTTTTTTTATCGGTCTTTTCTACAATGGACAGAAATCCATATTCAAAACAATTAGAATCACTTTGTAAGCGTGCTTATATCTTAAGGTTTTTTAAAATATTGTTGATGAAGTATTTAAACACCGAACTCAATTTGAAAATCAGGTATCCAAACGTAAATGACCTTCGCAGTTATTCTCCTAAGACCGGAATAATGTTATTTTGATATCTTAGTGAATTAGCATTTATTGTAAAATAAACGAAATGTGGGCTGAACGGAAGGATTTATTTGCAGCCAAACCTGAAGCGTTTTCTTCAACATGTTGTAGATTAATATTTCGCGCGGATTAAAGCTTGGTATTCAAGAAATATTCCTTTCTCCAGCAAAAAAAAAAAACTCGAATGTCTACTGGCAACTAACTCGAAAACATGCATAAGGTTATCTTTTAATATATATATCTTCTAACTTGTGACCCACAACAGGGGATCTATCAATAAAGTACAAGCGCATAGTTTCGAGAGATGCCAAAACCTTGCAAAAAAAATTTAGGCAAAAAAATGTTGAGTATAATTAAGACTTTGGAACCAATTTTTCAGCATCTACAGATAATCAGCCACTTTCGGTAGTTCTTGTTAACAATTAAGATAATTGCCTAAAAGTTTCTAACGTAAGGCTTGGTTAGTAAACAATCAACCCCTTAATACGTAAAAACGTTGACTTCTAACTCAATCATGAGTGTGGTGTCAGGATTCACCAAAAACGTTTGTTTTCACCTAAACAGCTTTGCTTCGTAACGTAACATTGCCGAACGTGATTTGAATGTAGAATATGATCAAGAACGTCGTTCGTTATATGATAGTACTCCAGCCCCGAAATTATTACCAGTGCACACACAAGGCTACCTTCCTTAATTTTATACTAATCAGGGGCTAATCACAGACACGTGTCGAGTACAAAATGAATCTGCATACGTAAATAAAAGGACAAGACGCAGCTTCACTCGCGCCGGAGATTGTCAAGTCTAGCCTGAATGTCATCATCGCCGTCGTCCCCTACAGCAACTGCTGGTGCCTTGGACGGTCCCGTGGTGGAGGCAAGCGTGGCGCCCGTGGACGGTAGATCGCCCAGACCTTCAGTCATCTGTAGCCCCAGCTCGTCCAGAACCTGCGAAACGATCGCGTCGCTGGGGAGGGCAAAAGGGGCGTTATGAAAAACGAACAGTACAATGTCATAAAAAACCAGCTTGAGGTTAAAGCATAAAATCATGATTGGAACACGAAACTGAAAACTACAAAACCTAGAACTATGCTAAATGATAGTTTTTACTCCCTAAATAAAATAGAAATTCATGGTTTCTGGAAAACATTTTGATCAGTCAAAGGACGATCAAGGCAAAAATGCATCGCTTATTACCTACAACTTAATGCACAACTACTAACATTTAATTTTATACTACGTATTAATTTATACTTTTTATACTATATAATAATTATAAAAAAACAGTACCTATATTTAGTGAAAAAAAAAAAACGATACAATGTCATAAAAAAACCAGCGTGAGGTTAAAGCATAAAATCATGTTGAAACACGAAGCTGAAAACTACAAAACCTATAACCATGCTAAATGATACATTTTACTCCCTAAATAAAATAGAGATTCATGGTTACTGGAAAACTTTTTGATCAGTCAAAGGACGATCAAGGCAAAAAATGCATCGTTTATTATAACTTAATGCACAACTACTAACATTTAATTTTATACTATGTATTAATTTATAGGTACTTTTTATATGGTACTATATAATAATTATCAAGAAACAGTACCTATATTTAGTGAAAACAATTGCTTGCCTAGTAGGAAAGTAAGAAAATCTTTACCTGCAGGAGCATAATGACACAGAAAACCAATAAGTAACAGTTAACCGTAATCACAATATTATATAATCAAGGTAAATGTTTTGTAAGCATGCATACAAATGGAATTAAAAATTTTTTCTGAGATAAATGATTTGTTAACTAGGCCCAGACATTCCTCAAGATGTTAAACTGCAGAGAAATGCTCACTAACCTCTCGTCTTCATCATCTTCTCCTTCCATGGCATCATCAATGACATCGTTCATCATTTCTTCTTTCATATTCATGATCTCCGTCTGCTTCTCGAATTCTTGCATGATGTGTTGTATCTGAGGCAGCTGAAGTTGTCTGATGATCAAGCATAAATACAAATTACTTTTAACATTTCACTAATACATATAGAGTAAAATTTTAATTATCTAAGTTACAGTGCAGTAATAAAATGACAGCTCCATATATTCTTTTATTAGTTGAGGCATCAAAGAGTCTCATGTAGCAGCTCAGGCTGAGGGGAGGGTATACTCACTTGTTCATGTTCATCATGGCTTTTGTTACACCCTTCATAGCCTGTGCCATTGCATTCTGGCTCTTCAGAGTTGTGATCTTTAATGACACGGCCTGAATCTGTGCGCGCATCATGATGAACTTCTTAACGTAGCGTCGTGTTCGAACCAAGTCTTTTGCCATCACTTTAACTGCATCCTGTAATATGAGGCTTAGATTATAAGTTGCTATAATCTGGCAAAATCAAATTTATGACGAAAATAAATCGTAATACTTAGATAAGCAGGAACCAATATATATAAATAATATCTTGAAACCCCTTGTTCAGCTAGCCTATCGAAGTAATCATGAGGGGCTCTGCAATTTACAAATAATTGAATACTGTAACATATATTAGAACAAACTCATTAGCAAGAATATTTACATTATGATTTTTAATTTTATTCTAATTTCTTTCAAGAAAACCATAGGAAACCTTTTTCTATAAATGCAACATGCCAAAATTTGGCAGATTTTAAGCAAGAGAATGAACAATCTTTATTCTATTGATGGAATGAAAACTTTAATAGTTGGTGCCAATCATCTCAGTCAGGACTAATATTCTAATGAAGTTAGCAAACAGCCACAAAATTCACAATTACTTGAGTTACTTAATTTCATTACACAGTATTTTACAAGATTCAACTTGGCAAACTACATTTCAGTGATTTTCTAACCATTTGTCCCATTTTGGCCATCTTCTTGATGTCTGCGATAATTTTTTTCTCTTGCTGCTCCATCTTGGCACGTTCTCTGTCCAAATCTCTCATAGCTTTTGTTAAAGCTCTCTGATTTTTCCTTAACATTTCTTCTGGACTCATCTTGCGTCCAAATAAAAAATCCATCTTGAAGTATTTCTTAGACCTGAAACAAAATATGAAGTAAATAAATGAGAGGGTGAAAATTAAACACACATCCAATTTTAAAGACCCCTGTTGATAAAATTATTCTGCTGTGATAAAATTATTCTTTTTAAAGATAGAATTTTGTAGTAGTCAAGATAACATTAAATCACCAATCTGTAACTAAAAGCAATGTAATTATCAGATATTATCATCCATTTATAGCAATCAACCTATTGACTCTTAACTTGATATTGAAGTTAGTAAAAGTCTTTCCATTGGGTGGAATATCCATTTAAAAAATTTATGGAGCTGTCAAAATTATCGGTTAACATACTCATAAATGAGAGTGATATTAGGGAGGAATTGTCAGTTCAAGGTATGCTTGGATTGTCTCTTGCTGCTCTCTGAAGATACCATTAAATGGAGTAATAAGAGACTGGTGGAGTAAATTGGGACAGTCCTTATAGTAGCAAAACTCATTGGAATATTGCAAAACTAAAAATAGTGGTGTAAATATATCCCCAAAAATCTTTAAAAAATTATATTTTGGAAAAGTACTTATGCTTAAATCTGTAGTAAAAAATATTTGCAATATTTAANGATAGTATCTCTTAAATTATTCAAATTCCTAACTTGGGTCAGTCATTACAGTGTGGAATTGCAGAGGGGTAATATATTAACTGGTAAACATAGCAAATTGGAAAGCATGACCTAAAAATCTGGAAAGGCCAGCATACTTCCACTTTCAGTCCATCATCATCACTGACAAGGCTCTGCAAGATGCCACAGCTGTTTCATTGAAAAAACAGCGCTTGCATCATCACAGTAACAAGAATCCAATCAACGCTTGAACGCGTCCAATGTCATAGTCACATGAATCCAATCATTGCTGGAACGTGTGCAAAGTCACAGTCACAAGAATCCAATTAGCATCAGAACGTGTGCAACGTCACAGCCACTGGAATCCAATCAGCATTAGAAAGCTAGAATGGACTGCCCAAATGCACATATGTTACTGCACTGATGCTAATTTAATGCATAATGCTACACTTCTTATTTCAAGTGTGTAATAAAATAATGTAGTTATGTCACTATTGATGGAAATTGAAAAGAATAACATCTTCACTATGTACATTCACTCACAAATACATGAAAAAGTGGCCATGATTCAATCCACAAATACAAAACTGACCACTGATGCAATAAGCTGAGATGTGGAAACTCCTTCTGTTGCGATCAGGAATACCAACCAAATAAAAGATAATAACAAAGAAGGTAGCAGGGATACCAACTATCAATATACTGGTGTGAAAAAATAATATGAATTCTTCTATATTACAAATTTATCAGTAACTGACATTTAACAGAATGGTTTAATAACCTTTGTAAATGTTATACATGCAGAATCAATCATGTGCAACAGCCAAGTTGGCAGGACTCTAATGATGGTTAGTGTTTACTTGTTAGTTCTCGTTACGCAATCAGTGGGTGAGGTAATTACAGCGCATTAACTGCAGATGATAATTGATAATCCCAAACTTAGAGATTTGGGATTATCAAAAAGTGAGTGAAAACTTTACTTGATATATTGTGAACCTTCCAAAGTTTTAATGATGAAGAAATCACAAGGTTTACAGAATCTAAAGGTTTTGATTACGGTACAGCAATCCCTTGATTAACGCGGTTAATAAATCCCCAAGTTTTACCGTGTTAAGCAAAACCGCGCTAATCAAACTTAAGAATATATGGGAATAATTATAATGAATCCTCGAAAATAGCAAAGTTACATAATAATTTTTTTTCCACTAAAATTCATCATATTTTTTTATAAATAATAGGGTAAATAAATAAAAGAAAAGCAAATAAATTAACATTTATTTTTTACTGAAAAACGAATCCAATTTCAATTGCACAGTAGTATTAGATTTCTTTCTCTCCTGCATAATTGTGCAGTTAATTAGTCTTCAAAGTGATATTTTTACGTTCAAGCGTTCCCTTTATGTCCATAATTATGACGGTAATTTATCAAGGAAAATTATGTAGTTTGATAAAAATGAGCAGTAGATATGGCAGCGATCTTGACCAGTTGAAGGCTAACGAATAACTAGAGCACCGGCATGGCGCACTTACCGGCGAATGTTGCCAAACTCGACCATTTGAGTTATGAACGAGACAAGGCGCGGTTAAACCAACTCTGTAGTCAGCACGAGTGCCTACGGAGCGGGACCTTATTTAAAGAATTATTGAATGAAATTCATAAAGTAACAACATTTGGCGAATTTTTCCAAAAGTCGTAAAAAAAGTAACAACATAAGATCTAATAAGCAAAAAGTAACACTTTTGTTACGAACGTAACACCTCTGGCTAGAGGCGGGAAAATGATGCGTTGTGAAAAAAAGTCACGCTAATAAAAACTGGCACCGCGTAGATTAAGGGTAGGTTGCAAATTTTTTTTTCCGCGTTAATCAAAACCGCGGTATTCAAAACCTTGCTAATCAAGAGATTGCTGTACTCTATTCTAATCAGTCAACTGAGTGAAGTGTCATGTTGTGCATTGCCTTTTCTTTGAGAAGTTCCTCTGATTGCCAATAAGTTTATCCTCAATTTGAAAGCTGACGTAAAGAATAGGTGCAATAAATGTTTTTCTTTATTTAATTTGAAACCATTATGTTAAGAGTAAATAGTATTTCCTTCTGTAGATACCTCTTGCTTATCCATGACCATGAGTGACTAGTGAAGCGCACAATTAACAATCTTGGGACCTTCACTCAGTTCACTGTCACTGTGTTGCTTGACGTAACGTTCATGCTGATTGCCAACAATGCCGAGGCTGATTTATGACAGCCTACAAACCTATTTCTAGTTGCCTGGAACATTTTTTTTAAGGCAGAACACTTTTTAAGTGAACCAGTAACCACTAATTTTATAATTCCACCCTGTCAGTCAGATATCTGGTTTTAAGTCTAGTAGACCTAAATTGGAATTTTCTTACTGGTTTCTGAAATCTCGCGGCTCTAAAATGTCGAATTTTTAATACAATTGGAATCTTGCAGCCTGATTGTGCACTTTTGTTAACAATTAGACAGGAAGTAATTCATCTGCTGAAAATCTCACGGTTCTGGAAATAGCGGAAATGCTCTAGTTGCGGCCCTAAGGGTAGATGTTTTCCACACTTGAAGACAGTTGAAGTCTACCATCTACACTCTTGACTCTTCACTGTACACTATTTGGTAAAATTCCTACTTTTTCTCAAGGCAGTAACGCAGTATGACTCACAGTCACAGACTCACAGGCCACCGGCGGCGGTGGGTTATAGGTACCTGTAATCCTGTATCACCGGTAGGCGGTAGGAAATATTCTCTGACTATGACAGCCCAATAGCCGCACCTACCTGCACGAGAATGAAATTCATAAAGTAACAACATTTGGCGAATTTTTCCAAAAGTCGTAACAAAAGTAACAACATAAGATCTAATAAGCAAAAAGTAACACTTTTGTTACGAACGTAACACCTCTGGCTAGAGGCGGGAAAATGATGCGTTGTGAAAAAAAGTCACGCTAAGAAAAACTGGCACCGCGTAGATTAAGGGTAGGTTGCAAATTTTTTTTTCCGCGTTAATCAAAACCGCGGTATTCAAAACCTTGCTAATCAAGAGATTGCTGTACTCTATTCTAATCAGTCAACTGAGTGAAGTGTCATGTTGTGCATTGCCTTTTCTTTGAGAAGTTCCTCTGATTGCCAATAAGTTTATCCTCAATTTGAAAGCTGACGTAAAGAATAGGTGCAATAAATGTTTTTCTTTATTTAATTTGAAACCATTATGTTAAGAGTAAATAGTATTTCCTTCTGTAGATACCTCTTGCTTATCCATGACCATGAGTGACTAGTGAAGCGCACAATTAACAATCTTGGGACCTTCACTCAGTTCACTGTCACTGTGTTGCTTGACGTAACGTTCATGCTGATTGCCAACAATGCCGAGGCTGATTTATGACAGCCTACAAACCTATTTCTAGTTGCCTGGAACATTTTTTTTAAGGCAGAACACTTTTTAAGTGAACCAGTAACCACTAATTTTATAATTCCACCCTGTCAGTCAGATATCTGGTTTTAAGTCTAGTAGACCTAAATTGGAATTTTCTTACTGGTTTCTGAAATCTCGCGGCTCTAAAATGTCGAATTTTTAATACAATTGGAATCTTGCAGCCTGATTGTGCACTTTTGTTAACAATTAGACAGGAAGTAATTCATCTGCTGAAAATCTCACGGTTCTGGAAATAGCGGAAATGCTCTAGTTGCGGCCCTAAGGGTAGATGTTTTCCACACTTGAAGACAGTTGAAGTCTACCATCTACACTCTTGACTCTTCACTGTACACTATTTGGTAAAATTCCTACTTTTTCTCAAGGCAGTAACGCAGTATGACTCACAGTCACAGACTCACAGGCCACCGGTGGGTTATAGGTACCTGTAATCCTGTATCACCGGTAGGCGGTAGGAAATATTCTCTGACTATGACAGCCCAATAGCCGCACCTACCTGCACGGCTGCACCTAATGTGTTAACTGTTAACCAGATAGTAATGAGTTCATAAAGATCTGCTCTAAGTTGTTTAAAATTTGTCACAATCATGCAATGTCACAGTCACATAGATTAGGCCTATATGATAGATAGTATCAAACCACACATTAGGTATTTACAATCAGCTCTTTTTTCAATTTCCTTTTTTACTCAAAATTCAAGCCAATATCTTATCATATGTTTGAATTTGATAATGCTGGTAAGATAGTGGTATCCATGATACTTTGCTGGTCTACCTAGGTACTTATACTGGCTACTGGTAATATAGGCTACACTTGGTACACTATACATATACTGATATACAGGTAGGTATACTAATACTTATAGGACTCAAGAGTCAAAAACAACCTTGAGGAGGTGAGGACTTGAGGTCGACGATGAGTCTAAACTCTAAAGAAAGTCTGCTTTGACACACCCACAGACCACAGTCCACACCAATGACACCATGCATGGATGATGGTATCTTCTTCAATTAGCTATTTTCAAAATTATTGAGGCTAGCCTAATATCATCAATAGAAAAATAAACAAGTAGAATCTTTTACTCACGTTTATTAGACACGTACGGTTATTTTTTCTTTATTTTATTACACTGCTGTGAGCTGTCTACGCACTGCGCAGGGCGCAGTCACCTTAGTAAGTTAGTTGTTCCACTAGACTAGGTATAGGTATATTCTCATTTCAAGTCAGTGGCAGTGACTCAACGTGCAACAGCTCTTGATAAATTGTAACCCTCACGAGCCGCCGTCACAAGATCGAAACTTTTAGAGATCGAGTAGCACTTCTAGTTATCGTACTTGTACTGTCAATAGCAAAATATTTTATGTATTAACAGCTAATAAACGGGATGAATTGCACTTTTGTTTACCATGTTGAGCTAATAATATGCGCATAAAGTAAGCGTTCTGCTTGAATTTAACATGCAGCTGCCGAGACCTCTGTTGACTAGTGTTGAGTAGCATTTAAATTAAAAGCAATTGCATCGTTCCCAGTTTTTAGCGCATTTTCTCATTTATGAAAAAAATGCACTATTGGGCTTGCCATGTCCGTCTGTCTGTCAGTCCGTGACTTCACGTTTTCGTCGACGAGAAAACGCGCTCTCTGTCACTCACTGCAGTGAGTACCGAGTTATATTTTAATGTTAGTTTTTTGGCCGCATGGTTTACTAGTGCTTCAGCTGTTCAGCTCTGGATGACACTAATAAACATTTCATACGTTGCAAACTGTCTCAATTATAGGAAATTACTCAAATCGTTCATTGCTTAACGCCCAATCTCATCAGACTTCTACGAGAATAGACGCATGACTTCTCTTACCGCCAGAGGTCCACGTGCACCACAGGCTGGGATACGCTTTTGTATATCATATAAAAACATCATGATTCAAAAAGATTTTCTCATAATACTTTCATTTTTTTATACATTCACTGTTGTGACATAATTCAACTTCAGGTACATTAATAATTATTGTAGCTGCGATAGACATAATCATCAGAGGACGTAGATGTTGAAATTCACCTTTCATATAAATGCATTAAAATTGAATATCTCATCGTAAAAAAAAAACAAGTAAATAACAAAATTGCGAGCTTCAATAAATTAAGAGAATATACAGACACAGAATAAACCAGTTAAAACATGAATACGTCTCAAACAATTTCTGAGTGTAACTTGGAATCTACACGGAATTCTGCCCCTTCTATCGTTTATTTTATGTCTTGTAGTAAGGATTTTTTCTAGCTTATATGGTTAACGGTGATAGCATACCGCTTAAGAACATTTTTACGGGCGTTGTGGTTCATAACCTATGTTAAATCATTCCAAATAAAAATGTCACATACGAAAAAATATATTTACTTAATCTTCCAGTGTAAAAATTACAAGTGAAATGATGTTCAGCTATAGCATGAATGTATGCGAATGATACGATGAAAAATCTTTATCACATATGTCAGAACTATAAAAAAAAATTTACCGAAATACTCTTAGTCATGCGAAGCATAATTAGTTTTGAGCGGCACTATGTTGGAATGATGTTTATTATCGGTAACATTAGGATCCATGGCACTATGAGCGCAAGCCATGAGAGCAGCACAGGCGTGCTGCAGCTGTATGGCCGCCTCAGCCTGCGCCGGCACCGATAACACCTCGCGCTCCAGGATGGCGCTCAGGCCATGCAGGAGTGAGGGGAAGCCGTACTGAAGAGCAGCTCGCCGTACGCGGTTCAGCTCCTGTGTAAGTATATGAGATAAATAAATTATTAAATAATCAGTTTATTGCCCACATAGTTTACTACTGGCCAATAGGGAGACAAGAAGTTTTGGTGTGACAGTCTCGCTCACGGAGCGATTTTGCACAGCTAACGCTTGAAAAATAAAGCCAGTGGATCGAATGTAGACCTCTTCCTGATTACAGTTCGTTATGACTTGACAACCATCAAGAGCTTTAGTTAAGACACAGCGCGAACGCTCTAGTATGTTCATTCTGGCCAATTTCCGTGATTCCGTTGGCTTCTAAACGAGTAAAAATGTCAGCTACTCCTGTCACGTACCAGATTACAGGTTGTTACGATAAGAAAATAGCAATTATTTTAGCTTTAGCAAGAGCTAATGCCACAATTGAAGTTAAAAGATTATCGTCTAACTACGGATCAAGATAAAAATATGAAGTTGAAAGATAATGGGAGAGCCAGTGGACATAGCGAAAACTAAACACGAACTAATTTTAATATTTTATTGATGATCAAGAGACTTGCCTTGTAGAAGCTGTTAGTTTTGTCAGGGAGTTTACGCGCGTGTCGTAGTATTTTCTGGACGTCAGACTGAAGCCCTCCCGCTCTGACCCACACAACGCAGGCCTGGTTGTAGCTGCGCTTCTCGCCACTCTGCCAACAACACGAATAATTTATCACATTTAGCAAGTTGATTCAAATAATTTGAGTCAAATTCTAATGGCATATTCTCCTTTGACACCAGAACGTATTTTCGGGTGCAATGCCGGGAAGAGAGTAATTCTGGGTTCCCGTTCTGTGGCTAAATGTTTGACCACCTCATCAGACTTTGTCAAGTAGTCTTTGAACTCGTGTGAGAATGTGGTGCTTTACTTCTTCTTCTTAGTTCTTATCGTAAGCATTTGACCGCCTAATGAGATACATAAATAATTAATTTACTTTAAAATTATAGTATTATTAAGCCATTAAGTATAAAGTATTATTTTGGGCTTCTGTATTTTTTCATGGTTGGCTAGAGAAAAAGAGTGATATTAACAATATGAATAATGTGTTTCAATTACAGCGATTGAATATTCATGAAGATTATTGGCATAATTGATTAATGTTATTGCACTGTGCGGAACATATTCTGAAACTGCAATAATTACGAAAAATGCAAGATATTTGACTATCGAAATTAGGTCTAAACAGAAACGTGGTGCAATCGACTTCGCTCGTGATATCACAAGTCCTAACACACACACGAATGCTTGTGTATTAACGAAAAGGCGCTCTTCAAAAGAAGAGTTTGTCGAGCTTTAATCCTCTGTTTTTTATGTGCAATAAAGAAATGTGAACTTAAGTAACGAAAACTTTGATCTTCAATGATGAATCTATCTAAAAAATTGATTGATGTTACCTATCGATGTCATTTGGAGAAAAATAATGAAAAATTATAATAATAATATAGATGATAACTGGTAAAGTGGAAATTACAGAGGAGTAACAACAATCTAACTTTAAATAACTTAAGAGTCAACAAAATTAAAAAAATTATGAATAGAGTGAATAAGGTAAGATATCGATTAAATGTTTATAAATAATCAATTTGGTGACAGCAAGCGAAGCAATTATTGATATTGCAATAAGTAAAGTGACTAATGAAGTAGTATTTAGCAGTGACAAAAGCAAGGCGATCAATGGAGTAGGAATAAGTAAAGCGATCAATGAGCTGACAATAAGTAAACAAATAATTACAGAGAGAGATAAAAATAAATAATAAAAATACGAGAGAATTAGACAGCTACCTTGACAGGGAAGGGCGGCAGAGCATCGGGGTCAGTGTAGGGGTTCTCGGGGAGGCACGAAGCGGGGCCAAGTTCATCAAGCTTGCCCAGCCAAGGAATAACGTCCGTTCCTGTGGTGTCAACAATTATATTCTTTTCTTGCCATAGAGTATCATGAACCATAAAATCGTTTTTTGAAAATATAATTGATGTTTAGATGAAAAATCCGAAGCCTGAAGATAGCGCCAGTGTTTTTAGCGTATTTTCTCATTTATGGAAAAAATGGCCAATTGTAATCATCATGTCCGTCCATCTGTCTGTCCGTCCGTGACTTCACGCTTTCGTCAACGAGAAAATGCGCTCTCTGTCACTCACTGCAGTGAGTACTGAGTTACATTTTTTATGAACTTAATACCCTTCATTCATTAATGTTTACATCATACAACTGCAACGAATACTTACAACATACCAGATTAATAGCATAATACTTTTACCATACTTATTGGTACCTTTCTAACTTTTTGCTTATCAGTCCTTATAACATTAGTCTGCTTAAATCGCAAGTTCAACAAGAATTTCGTAGCAATGAAAACGCCGAGCAAATGGAAGTTTTATTGAAGATACGTTGAACTCGCTTGGAATTTTATTTGCTTTTAAATTCTTGACGAACTTTTCGTTGCAGAGTGCGGGAGCTACAACTCACCCGGGTGGAAAATAGAAAGTAAAAGATTTGACTTCTTCTTATTGTCGGACCACGAGTAGAGGATGCCGTACCAGTTGGGCGCTACTTGGCACAGCGCGACCTTGCCTTCTTTCTGTGTTGAGATCGACCGTTATTTAATTGGGGGAAAGTAGACTACAATGCGTAAATATAAATATATAAATAAGTAAGAGATGCATCAATAGAAGGAGGCGATTGAAACATGATAGATTTTTATTCAAAAAGTTTACATTTAAAAACGAAAAATTGGGATTTTTAAAATAAATCAATAAATTTTGCATAGTCAATAAAGTATCATAGCTTTGTAGTTTCTGATTCTTGCAACTGAAGTGGCATGTAAAAAAAATATCTATTAATTGAGAACAAACGTTTAAATTCCTTTACATCGGACAATTAGAGCATAAGCACTTCCGCTTGATTACAAAAAGTATTCACAAAGATTTTTAACTCATTACGAATTCAAATTTCTTCAATGAAACCAACAGTCTTTTCCATCACCAAAAACGCATATTAACAGATGATAAATTTTGGTAGGAAAGAAAGTGATTTCAGGTACCATTTACTTTTGGGCCGAGTACACTTAATGTGGTTTCACAACACTGAAAAAGTAACGAATATTCCATGTTTTTATCTGTGAATAAAAGTGTAACCTTGAGTCCGCCGTGCAGGACGACACAGAGCGAGGGAATTTTGCCCTCGTCGGCGGAGACCTCCTCGTCGCCAGAGCCTGCGCCGTCAGGTGATGACGTGGAATTACCTTCACCTGCAACACTCAAGTAATTAGCGACGAGCCAATGATGCAGGGGGACGCTATGTGGTGCACTCATTCATCACACGTGTGAGTTACAGCCATACAGACGAGAGATTGTTTTTCGTTGCATGATGTTTATGTACACGTAGTTTACGTAATACGTGTTTATCAACAGTTGTTGATATGCCTAAGAATTGTGATCAGAGGATAACTACGGCCAACAATGCAGGAGGTCGCTTTGTGATGCACTCATTCATCACACGTGTGAGTTACAGCCATACAGACGAGAGATTGTTTCTCGTTGCAGGATGTTCATGTACACGTAGTGTACGTAATACGTGTTCATCAACAGTTGTTGATATGCCTACGAGCTGTGACCAAACGATAACAATGGAATTTGACGGTGGTAGAGATCCTTTCTTCGCCGACAAAAATAAATGAAAGAATGATATTTTTCATCCTGGCCTAGTTTGATTACAATAGATTTTTAATGAAAAATTTATATGTCTAAATTAATGCTGGCATAAAGTACGAACGTATTATTATAATATCAATTACTGTAATCAAAATTACACAAGTGACGACCATTGATATATCTCTTGGAAACTTTGATATAGATCAAGGTTTCGAATACACACCTAGGCATCTTTGGTTACTTCAAGCAATCACTTATTTTATTTCTGCGTGATTTTACAGAGTTTTGTGCGAGGATTAGTGAATTGAAAGAGATAAATACAGAGAAGAAATTTTTTTGGAAAATATTTTGCTGTAGCCGGAAAAATGTGAAAATTAACACGTTGACTACGTATTGGTACATATGCGTACCACGAAATGTATTTCTCCTGGTACATAATTCAGGGTTGCCAGATGGCCTAAAAAACGGCCAATTAAGTCCGTGAACAAAAAGGCCAAATAGGCCAATAACTCAATATGTACTAGTATATTTGTAGGATCCGGTGTAAAAATTCAATTTTTTTATTTAATTAGGAAGTGCCCCTTAAAACCACTATCATAAATTTTAGCCAACCAACGAAATTGAAAAAACTAAATGGCGGAATTTGTCCGGTAAAAAATGAAAGTCTGGCAACCCTGTTCCATAATAGTACTAGAAAAATGAAACAAAAGTACAAGAAGAAGCAATTGTAGTCAACGTGTTAAAAAAAACTTTGATTGAATCTTCAAAAGACGAGTGAGTTAGGGCTCAACACCAAGCAAAAAGATGCCAAGATTCGAGGAGAGTAACATTGCGAATATTCAATTTTAGAGAACCAACTGATTAACGACTGCAAATAATTTATTCAGAGAGCATATGGCCAGTTCTATGAGGCCGATGCCCCCAACCTTGTAGCATAAACTGAATTTGTGTATTCCAGAAGACAACATGCAATATTAATTAAAAAAATGTAACTCAGTACTCACTGCAGTGAGTGACAGAGAGCGCATTTTCTCGTCCGTCCGTCCGTGAATTCACGGACACACAGTCGGACGGACGGACATGACGAGCACAATAGTGAATTTTTTTCCATAAATGAGAAAATGCGCTAAAAACAAGCTATCGATTTGCTGGAATAATTGTCTCTAGCTGGCAACTTGGAGTGGCACCTTTGTGTTGTAAAGGCAGGAGAAGGTGTCGGGACGACGCTGGGGGAGACGACACGTCCACAATAGATAGGAAACCCAGCACCAGCAACTCCTTAGACATCGTCTCTCGCACGTTGGTCACGCCGACTTCGCGGTATGGCTGGTACGGCTGCACGTTATAAGAGCGCCATCGTTAGGTGATCCAGGAGTCCCCTTATGTTGTCTTCATGTGCCCAATAAAATGTAGTATGTTATCTGCACGAGCCCAGGAAAACGTTTCATCCTGTTATCAATGTGCATATGGGCAAGAATTAGTGATATTCTCGCGCTTACAGGAAGAGCTTATAAGTTTTCTACTTGTATCGAGGTTTACGCGTCTAAACATCTTGTCATTCTTAGATAATAGAAAAGGACACTTGCAGGTAAAGGACACTTGCAGAGATACAAGGGTCAGTGTTGGTGTCAGGCTGTGTGTGACTAATTTAATTTACGTACAGGCGTAACCAGGTCTCCAGTGAAGTTTAGAATGACAGTTGTATTGCTTAGTGAGTTCCATCACCGCCTCAATGTGTGATTTTGGGTCATAAGAATAGTCCTATAAGAACAGCCCTATAATCATTCGTGTTCTCTGATATTGAAGACTATGAGCTCTGTGTAGTGAGTGAACAATTGGCTTTGTACATACAGTGGGGGGAAATAAATATTCGTACACTTGAAAAATCGTATTTTAATGTATGTAAGTACACAAACTCAAAAGAAAAAGTGATTTAAATTATGTATAGAGACGCATAGTATTCAAAAATACTATCAAAAGAAATTAAATCTCAATGCAACAAAAAATAATGCAACATGTTCACTTTAGAGATTTAATTTCTTTTGATAGTATTTTTGAATACTATGCGTCTCTATACATAATTTAAATCACTTTTCCTGTTAAGTTTGTGTACTTACATACATCAAAATACAATTTTTCAAGTGTACGAATATTTATTTCCCCCCACTGTACACGGGGGACATGAGCCAATAATGTTACTTGTTATCATCAGTTCCATTATCACTATGAAGAGCGCACGGATGTGTAGAAGAACCACTGTAATTGGAAGAGAAAATAATCATGGAAACAGTAATCATAACCTATATGGGGCTGTAAAAATCATAACCTATATGGGCTGTATAAATCATAACCTATATGGGCTGTATAAATCATAACCTATACAGGGCTGAATAAATCATAACCTATACAGGGCTGAATAAATCATAACCTATACGGGGCTGTATAAATCATAACCTATACGGGACTGTATGAATGATAAACTATAGGGAGGGCTGTATGATTAAAATCATAACCTACACGGGGCTGTATAAATCATAACCTATACAGGGCTGTATAAATCATAACCTATACGGGACTGTATAAATCATAAACTATATGAGGCAGCATAAATCATAACCTATAAGGGACTGTATAAATGATAAACTATATGGGGGGCTGTATGATTAAAATCATAACCTACACTGGGCTGTATAAATCATAACCTATACAGGGCTGTATAAATCATACACTAAACAGGGCTATAAAAATCACAACCTCTATGGAGCTGTATAAACATGGAACCAAACATAAGCAGGACCGTAAACGAGAGAGGATTGGTTGTGAGGGCACCTGTGGAGGAGGAGCCAGTGTGATGTTGGTTGACAGGTTGCCGCAGCGCAGCACTCCGTGGTATGGACTGAATTGTGAGGACAATACTTCTGACATTAAATCCCTGGTGCTCTGCAAAGTTAATATTTTGTAAATACAATCAAATACATGAATAAAAGGTTAACATATTTTAGATATATCAACTTCAAACAAACCAGGTTAGATTACCCATCTAAAATTAACCAATCAAACACTCGGATGCGATAAATACTTTGATTAGGTACTAATATAGTTCATAATGGCTAGAGTTTGACTTGAACTCTTTTCGTTTATGAAATTAAAATAACATGTTATTTACAATACATGCAACGTCCAATACTGACCCATCCAGTAGTTGAGCGTAGCAAGGCTATGCCATTAAGCACTAAACAAATGTTGATCTAAAATGTACCTTCTTTGACAGTTTGCCTTGAGGGACGTGGACGCTGCCGTCACCGTTAAGTTCCACATAGCGCTGGTAAAGCGGCAATGATGCCTGAAAATATAATTTTGGTACATTTAAAGTAAAAAACTAAGCAAGATTCTCAATTTTAGTTTCGACAGGCACAGTGTGCTAGAAAATTTTTAAATGTGTGTTGAATGAAACTGTCCGAGAGTAAGTCGGGGAAACAAGTCCTAATGTGTTTGCCAACAGACCTAGTTAGCTATTGAGTCCACGAGTCAACATCTGATAGACACGTGATAGATCACGCGATCAAGACCTCAGTAGTGAGCGGAAGCAAAGCTAATAAAAGGTCTAGCAACCTTAAGCAAACCCCCCAGTAGCTGATGAGCACTCCGCGATATGTAGCGTGTCGGTAGAGTTCTCCGACCTTACGGGCGATGCCGTAGCTATTCCTCTGTATCGCAACTCTGTATTACCACCCCGTATACAAGATACGTTATCTGGACTTATGTGTCTTACTTATCCCTCACTACCTTAGTCAACGTAACCCGATCCTCAGGTAGAGCTTAATATGATGAGCTCAATATCATAGTTTGTAGTAAATACACAAACCTGTGACAAAACCTCAATAATGGACAACAATTATGCAGCAGCAAATGTCACAGAGAGAATAAAGAAGCAGAAGCAGCAAAAACAAAAAAACTGTGTTGCAATTTCCTCATTCCTGTGATGCTTTATTTCAAAATATACGTACAGGGTAGTACAGTATTCCCTTTCTTAATAATAGAACAGTGGATGTTTGCTTAAATTTGCCACAAACATTTCCTTTGATTGATTTTTATCCCATCTGTTGACAACTTGCTTTTTGTCCTCAAATAAATTGTCAAAAATGTATTTCGTCAAATTGTCTAAAATGTATATAGGTCTTGGCTATGTGCATCTCTATTTATAAAGAAGGAGCCAAAAGATGATTTTAAATATTTCTAACCAATGATCACAGAACTCAGTCATAGGTAGGTTATAAAAATCATAAGTGGTTGATGAAAAACACCATCGGATTCTATTGAAATGCTCTAATCAATACGTTTTATTGTGATAAATTCAATGTCGACAGATATCACATTAATTTCATTTACCACTAATATTCATCAATCATACAAACCAAGAAATTCCTGAACAAACGAAGATCTTACCAGAAGAGCGGGGTCGTCAGGGGAGGCAAGACACACAATGTCAAGAGTAGCTGGCACAGTGAGAGGTAAAGGAAAGTTTTGAGCAGCTCGGGGTCCTGTAAGGGATCTCAGGTAGCCACTTTGCCCCACTCCAGCAGCACCATCAGTAATTACCAGTATCTGCAAGCAAAGAGTTTGCAAGATGATTATTGAAAACAAGAAACCTTTTCAAGGAAATCTTTTTGCATTAAAATATAGGTACAAAAATATGACAACATAGACAACTACGTAAAGGTTGAAAAAAAATTGCTTGGCTTGGCATACAATTGTTTTAGGTATTTCAAGTAATATAAATATTGTCAAATAAATATTATGCATAGCTATAGCTTACTTGGCATGGCATGTTATTGCCCCATTCCTCCTTACAATAGAGAACAGTGCCCTGTAGAGCACCATGGAGACAGGTCTTGTCATAGTCACCCACTTGCATCACTGCTTTTCTGATGCTGTTGTAGTCTCGTGTGAAGCCCACAACTACCTCATATAGAGATGAATATATAACCTGGAACATATATTGATTAACTTAGAAAAAATTATGAAACATTAACTAATAACGTATTTAGTTGCATGGATCCTGAAGCATCAGACAATATAGATTAATAATCAGTATCCCTAATGATGGTAAATAGTCATCAATTCTAAGTGCAATTGGAAATTCTATACTATAATTTTTGAGCCTACATTGGATTTATGAATTTCCAATTTAATCAATTTAGTGGCTGTGTAATTATTTTCAGTCATTATTAAAAGCCATAAACCCATTTCCCAGATAAGATGAAAAAAATTAATATGGTAGACTCATTTGTCAGCTATGGGTCCCAATTTAAGAGTCAAACTTCCCAATTTAATGATGGACATAAAATTAGAATATTTTTATAAATTTAAAGGCAATTAGGCATTGTTGAAAAGTATTGAAATAGTAATATAAAAATGATCCTTACCAATCTATATTTCATTGTTTAATGCACATGGGAAAATCAACTCAACATTTTTAAAGCCACGTAATTTGAATAAGAAGTAAGAGTTATTCAATACAGTCTTGACATCAGATATTCTACACACAGTATTTCACAGTATGATTCTATTCATCTATAAAGTTTAATGACTGATTAGAAATGGCCGACAATATGAATGTGAAATACTAAAACCTAATGCAAAGTGTATAAATACATTTATACCATACCAGAGACACAAATTCCAGTTTGTTGGTTAGTGTGAGGTGATCAAGCAGTTGACAACATGCAAGTGCAGCCAAGTCTTTCCTCAAAAGAGGAGAGCTGTTCTCAGCCTCGTCTTGCCCTCCAATATTAGGCACTGGTCGGCACATTGAAAATGACACGTCTAGCAATATGACAGTTGGCATGACTGAAGTTTTCTCCTCCGGATGAAAAAATTATTTAGAGCTAAACAGTACTGTGGAGATATACAATATTGATGAAAAACAATTACATCAGATATTCAACTTCATAGATTTAATTAATTTCTGCCCTGAAGACTTCTTGATATCTGCACTGTATTAAACAGAAATAAATACATCTCAAGTATTTGCAGGTATAGATTAAAATCATTAAAGTTTAATCATTAAACAACAATAAAAAAGTAACAATATATTATATTACAATATTTTACAAAGGAAATAAATAATTCAAAATTATTTATTATTTACATTAAACTATAAATACTATTACAGGTGATGTGGCAAAAAATACTGCTCTGAATAAAAAAACATGGTACAGTAAATGTAAAAAGTTAGTCACATTAAAAAACAACAATGACTGTCATTATGTTTTTATAAAAAAAGTAAAATAATGAGGTTAAATGTCTTCCTCCAGTATTATAGGCCTATCACTATCTTCTGCTCAGTGCTCTATACCTACCGGCTACCTAATAGGAATAAATTAGCCAGCCTAACTGCAGGATTGGAATTTTCCTTCTTGGGGGACTTTCCTGAGCTTTTGGTACAGTAACTGCCCTCAGCTTTCAAAATTGGATAAACTATGATTCTATGAAGCAGTCTTGGTATGCAGGATTGAAAAAAAAATCCCTTTGAATTTCAATTATCAAAGGTACCGCAGTCCGCTCGTCTTTTTCTTCTCACGTCCCATGTCTGGTTGCAAGCCCTGACTCAAGTCTAGGCTTGTCTTCTTGACACATGAGCTACTACTGGGGCCAGATGATGGTCCATGCCTGGACTGGAGTATCTATTGCTTTTTGGGTATGAGAGGCTTGTAGTTGTAACTTGTAAGCAAGCCAAGAAGCCCACTACAACTACTCTACGGTCTCTACCACAGTACCACTACCAGGCCCACTGGTCCACCGTCCAGGCATGGGTGGAAATTGTTACATTATTTGTCCATTCAAAAACTTGTCTTAGGGACAGGAACACACACTTCCAGCAGTTTCCATTTACAGGTGATATACTTGCATGTCCTGTATGCATTTGCAGGACAGGTGCTTGGAGTCAATGGCCAATAAGCTCCTCAGAATCTAAGTTAATGGTCAGTTCTAAAGTTTGACTATTAAAATTCCTCCAATTTTTCAGTTAATGCCAGAAAAATGACACATATTGCAAAATTTCATGTAGAATTTTGAGCGGATACTCTCTCACTACTAAAGGGAGGCTACCTAGTTGAATTAATCCTAGGCAAGTGCTACTTGAGAGTTGAGGCCAACATGCCTCAATCTGAATTTTATATGTGCAGTACTGCAGTTTCCATGATCCTCTCCTTAAAAGTTAAAGCATGACCAAGGCTATATCCCTCTCTGTCTCTAATTTTCAGACGGTGGTAACTTATTTAATACGCTAGTGTTGGGGACGCGATATTTTTGGATTTTCAGAAATCATCAATAGGAACTAACAGCCACGAGTTCCTATAAGAAAATGAATTCCACAAAGTCTTTTCTTGCCTATGATAATAATTCAGCAACACTTATTAATTTCCAACATCATTCCATACGGGACGACCAAAAAGTGAACAATTTGCACTTTTTCAGAATATATTCATATCTTGAATAGATGTAGGTCTATTCATATACATATTTACTGAACATAAACTAAAATCATGATAAGGTTTGAGTAGTAACTATGATATATGCCTCTGATGTATGATGATTCAGCGTCGGCAGACTTGTATATCATGGGGCACAGTTCACATGAAAAATTTCATCCATGTTCACATTTATCCAAGAAGAGTAGTGTGTTGATAGATGTAGTGAACGACTTGCTTAATTCGATTCATTATTTTCAAACGAGCGATTAACGGAGAAAACTTTGGATGACAGCATGCAGCATGCCTGCAAAGATTTTAAATAACTAAAATTAGCAAATTACTGGAAGTACAATTCAGAAATTGAAAAGTCAAGTCAGGGTAAAAAAATACCGAATTTATAGATAATATATTTCATGGGATTTGTCAAATTCTAGGCGAAGATATGGAAAGTAACGTTCGCTTCGAAAAATTCGTCTTGAATTCGTCTTGAAACCTTGGCAAGAATAATGAACATCAAGATTACAGTATGAGAAGACACGGTTGCAACGACAGAGTGATGATGTCGGAGTCGACAACGGAAAAGGATTTAGGAGTTAACATCGACAATGAGTTGAAATTTTCTAAGCATATTGAAGGTCAAGTTAATAAAGCCAATAAACGACTTGGACTGATCAAACGCTCTTTCGAGTTCCTAGATGCAGGAACGATGAAGCAGTTGTTTGTTGCTGTCGTGCAGCCTAGCAAATTACGGACCAGGCAATAAGTCCAGCAGCTATCTCAATCAATCGTCAGCTATGGAAAGATCGGGTTCCAAAGGCCGGATCCCTTGTGAATCAAGTCACGAAAAGTTCAAGAATCGGCAACAGGCCATGGGCCTATTTTTTCAGCGCCGACACTTCTATTCTATTCTATCATCTATAGTCAGTCCTCAAATAATATAGAAAAATGAGTATATGGTTGATTCATACATTAAGATTAATGTCAACTCCATTTTATAATATAACATAACATAATGATCTCGGCGCTGAATTGTAGGCCTGATGTGGCCTGTTGCCGATTCATTTCCTTTTCGTGCCTTGTTCATAGAAGATCTAATATCGTTTCATTTGACCGGATATTTTCATGACTGACGGTAGTTTAAAGTAGCTACTAGACTTCCACCGGGTTCGATATAGTGCTAGGCATTTCAAATCTGAACATATATTTTTCCATAGCTTTATCTAGTCTGTTCTTGAACGCGTTCATACTTGGAGCGCCAACGATGTCATCGGGGAGGCTGTTCCACATGTCGGTGATTCGAAGCGCGAGAAGAAATTTTGTCGCGTGGAGAAGTTGCAGCGCAGTTTTTTAAGTTCATAGCCGTGGTCCTTGTTGTTGGTTCTTGTTTCAAATTCTAGTAATCCTTCGGGGATCTTGTATAAACCATGAGTATACTTGTATACTTCAAAGAGGTCCCCACGCAGACGTCGATAACTGAGGCTTGGAAGCTTCATAATCTTCAATCTTTCTTCATAGGACTTGTCTTTCAAGCCTGGAATTATCCTTGTTGCACGTCTTTGAACATTCTCAATTTGTAGATAAGGTTTAGATAAGATAAGATGTAGATAAAGTTAAGGTGAATCTCACAAAATTAAGCCGGAAGTAGCATCCAGCACAATTTTATCGCTCTTTATGTGTATGACGTACGAGAGTTCACACTCCGATGTGTATCTATGAGTATGACGATAATCATGGCTGGAGACCGGGCTACAATTGGAAGACAGTTGTAAGGTGATGTGTACACCTGGCTTAAGCGTAAGCGGAGGGCCTATCAACTGATACTGTGAATCTGTCTTGCGGCTACAAAGTAAACATGTTTTAGGGCTTGCAACGTACGCCTGGAAACTTCGTTGTTATGAGTGATAGACTTTGCCACGCTTTGATCAAAGTGAAAGTTCTTATCATTGATTGTATTGCCTGTGCGAAACTCTGAAAAAATGTGTAATCATTCTAACCCATTTTTAATTTGCTAGAGACAGGGAGCACTAAGATACTGGTGCGAGATTAGATAGCGCGAAGCTTCCTTGTTATACGCTGGGAACAATATTGCTTAACAATGAATAAAGATTTTGGAAGGAAATGACATGCCACGTTCATATTCCATAGATATTATTGTAAACGTGAGTTAAGCATCAGATTTTATTGCAAAAACTTGAGGTGCTTAACTGAAGGACACTATTGCCGGGATGCCCGTTTGGTAACTTCTCCGTGCCTGCGTTAAGCCCCTATGTCTACGGACACATGAACCGTTGTCAACGCTATTCCTACCAAGAGGCCTGGTGCCGAGACTTACCATCATCATACGTGGCTATACTTTGGTCAGTCCTGAAATCTTGCTGTTGAACTATGTACTCAGTAGAAATTTATTGAGTGTATAGTGAACTACACGCAGCGGAAGAAGAATAAAAAAATTGAATTAGAAAAAATTCAACACGAGGAAAAGCGAGTAGGATCACTTCATGTTGAAGAGAATATTAATTCATGTGAATTTCTTCTGAGATCAAGATATATCTGCTTTATTTGATGGCAAACCGCAGTAAAGCCGCATGTAATTATCTGTAAGGTACCGTAGTTCATACATATCTTCTCCTAAGAAATTAGAATACTTGTATACCGGTATACAGTTATTGTCAATGAAAAGTTTTTCAGACTCGAAAGAACTTTTCGCTTTGATTTTTGAACTAGTATGAAAAATGAAAAAAAATATGTGGGTACTTTGGTCCAAAAATCTATAAGTAAACTCAGGAACTTGCCTCACCAAGTTTATTTCAGAGACTTGTATCAGGAACTTATCACATCCCGTAGGAAAAAAAATAAAACTGGCTTGGCTGGCCGATGTTATGTGGCGCTGTTGATGAGCGTTGACATCGTTACTTCCCAGTATATTTCTAATCAACTCTCCTCCAGCACTGGCGTTATATACTCAAGGGCGAAGGGTTGCTAGGGTCTGGGCTCAAATCCTTGGCAAGCTGCAAAAGCAATATAGGAAGTTTAGAATCGACGACACCCCAGATCTAGCATAATCAACACAGTCGCCACAATTGCTATGAAAAAAATGGTAAAAATTTCCCACCATCTTATATGAAAACGGTTCAGTATCTAAACGCATCGTCAGTCCCAAGGTAATAGAATGGTAGAGTAGGCGTAATAAATTAGCGGATTAGCTCTGTAAAATCCACCTTGACTTTCAAGCACAACCTACGAGCCGCCCAAGACTCCATCAGCCGCTCAAAGGAATAGAATAGATCAATCGAGCGCGTTTCTGCAGTGCGCCGCCAGACGCACCTGACGCATCTTAGTGCGTCTCGCGCGTGCAGTTGAACGCAATTCTGGGTCGGAAAAGCGTTACTGTTACTCGTATCTCTACTGCTACTTGTTCTGTTGCCTTTTATGCATTGTTGGGGACACAGCATTTTTGGAAGTCATTAATGAAAAGCAACAAACACGAGCGAGAGAAAAAAAACAACGCAAACAAACAAAAATAAATACAGGCACAAGGAATACATACACACAACCAACTG